AAATCGGGATGGACTTAGTAAAAATCTTCGTAGACGGGGGAGCCAGCCACAGCCTCATCAACACTGCCACAGCACGAAAACTGCGACTGCCACTGGACAAATGCTTACCTGAGATCGATGCAAGACTGGTAGATGGCACGCCACTAGCAATACGGGAACGCGTAGACCGGGTTCGGATTCGATGCGGGGGTAACTTCACATTTAGCCAGGAAATGCTCGCGACGACCCTCGACGGAACCGATATTTTACTCGGGCGTGATTGGTTGCGACGACACAATCCACGAATCGACTGGACGACGGGTGACTGCACCGTGCGAGTGAACGGTAACAACATCGCCTTACCTCGCTGGGGCTCGCCTGAGTCTTCGTCGGTGCGTGTCAACGCGATCACGATGAAACGCGCTGTAGCGGCAGGAGCTGACGTGTACGCGGTCGACATTCGGGGAGCCGAGGCAGCAGACAAAGGAGGGGATTTACAGAAACTGCTGGCCGACGTACCGAGTGACCTGGCAGCACTGTTGAAGCAGTACAGCGACATTTTTCCGGACGATTTACCGACGGGACTGCCACCTCAGCGACCGCACGACCACAGGATATAGTTAGAACCGGGGGCACAGCCAACAGTACAGCGACAGTTCCGACTGACCCAACCCGAACTGGACGAACTGAGGAAGCAACTCGATTACCTGCTCGAGAAGGAATTCATTCGCCCTAGTTCGTCGCCCTTCGCAGCACCGATACTGTTCACACCGAAAGAAGACGGGGGATTTCGCATGTGCATAGATTACAGAGCACTGAACAGGGTTACCATCAAATCCCGTTACCCCATCCCACGAGCCGACGAACTGATCGACCAACTGCGCACAGCCCGGGTTTTCTCGAAAATCGATCTCCGCGGGGGTTACCACCAGATTCGCGTCAATCCGCCCGACTGCCCTAAGACCGCATTCCGAACACGCTACGGATCCTTCGAATACACCGTCATGCCTTTCGGACTGACCAACGCCCCCGCCACTTTTCAAATGACCATGAACGAGGCTTTCCGCCCGCTCTTAGATAAGTGCGTCATAGTATACCTGGACGACATACTAATTTACAGCGCTGACAGAGCACAGCACTTACAGGACATCGAAGCAGTTTTTAAAATACTGAGTGAGAACCGCCTACAGACAAAAGCGTCTAAGTGTGAATTTTTATAGAACCGCCTGGAGTTTTTGGGACACGTTATTTCAGCTGCAGGAGTGGAAATAGACCCGAAGAAAATTGCGACGATTCAAGCGTGGCACGCGCCGACCAACTTGACCGAGTTGCAGAGTTTTTTGGGGTTCGTCAACTACGTGCGCCGGTTCGTCCCCGACATGGCGAAGCTGACTGCCCCGTTGACCGACCTGCTGAGGAAGGGGGTTGAGTACACGTGGGGGGAGAAAGAGCAAGCTGCCTTCTCGGCCCTCAAAAACATTTTGTGCTCACCGCCCGTGCTTCACATCGCAGATCCACACCGTCCGTTCGAGCTCGTCACTGACGCAAGTGACATCGCTGTGGGAGCAGTACTGTTGCAGAATTTCGGGGACGGCCTCCAGCCAATCGCGTACGAGTCCCGCAAGCTGCACCCGCCCGAACGCAACTACCCGATACACGACCGCGAAATGTTGGCGATCGTGCACGCGTTCAAAGTCTGGCGGTGTTACCTGACTGGCGCCGACGTGACAGTACGGACAGACCACCGATCACTACAGTTACTACGCGCCCAGCCAAATCTCAATCCGCGACAGATTCGCTGGTTGGACTACCTCGAGTCCAACTTCCACTGCACGGTTACGTACAAAAAAGGCGCCTCCAACATCGCCGACGCACTCACCCGCCCCACCGCCCAACTCCACGCCATCCTACTCGCCCAAACCAACCCACTTTTAACAGGCCTATTCATCCACGGATACCGCACCGACCCATTTTTCACGACTGGAAACTCACAGCAACTGGCAGAAGCTAAAGGAGTTTATTACGTAAAAACAGGCACCAACCGCATCTGGGTACCCGCGTACTCACTACTGAGGGAGCTGCTACTGCAGGAGGCACACGACGGAATTACCTCGGGACATTTTAGGGGTAGAAAAAACGCGACAGCAACTGCAGCGGTATTACTACTGGCCGGAGCTGTTGACCGACGTGCAGCAGCACGTGGGCTCGTGCCCCACGTGTCAGGTGATGAAGAGCTCAAGGAAGCGGAAGGCGGGTCAATTGCAGCCGATACCACCGCCCGAGCGCGCCTGGCAGCAGGTTACCATGGACTTCGTCACAGGGTTACCTTCGAACCCTGGGGGTAACGACGCGGTGATGGTCGTCGTTGACAGGCTGACGAAGATGGGACACTTCGCTGCGTGCAAAAAGTCGATCTCAGCCGAGGAGACCGCTCGCCTGTTCATCGCATCCGTTGTTCGCCTGCACGGGATACCAGCAGCGATTATCAGCGACAGGGACACGAAATTTACCAGCAACTTCTGGAAAAACCTCTGGGAGCAGTTCGGGACCAGGCTACAATTCAGTTCGTCGTACCACCCCGAGACCGACGGCCAAACGGAGCGGACGAATCAGACGATGGAGCAGTTGATTCGTGCCACGTGCGACGACCCCACGACTTGGGAACAGCAGCTGCCGCTGATCGAGTTCGCGTACAACAATGCCACGTCAGCGACGACGCAGCAGACACCCTTCTACCTAAACTACGGGCAAAACCCTACAGTGCCCATGACGCCGAGTCCGGACAACCCGACACCACGCGCGCAACAATTCGCCGAAATTCTGCAAGCTGCCCGCACCAGAGCCGCGGAAGCAATTAAAAAAGCAAACGTCATCGCTAAGCGCAACGCTGACCGCCACCGCCGCCCCGTCACATACCAGTCAGGGGATTACGTACTGCTCGACACACAAAATCTGCGACTGCCCGACGTACCGAAACTTCGACCGCGCTACTGTGGCCCATTCCAAATCAGCCACATGATCACGCCAGTAACCGCGCACCTACTGTTACCGACCGACTGGTATATCAGCCCTTCGTTCCACGTCAGCTTGCTTCGCCCATACATCCCAACCACAAGCCAACTGCCTCGCCACCGCCCGCCATCCATGACTCGCCCTGCATCGGAGCCGATCATCGAGCCCGAAAAAATCCTGAGCCATCGGATTCGACACCCCACGGGAATCAGAAGGATTGAATTTCTCGTTCGCTGGAAGGACCGCACGCCAACTGAAGATAGCTGGGTGCCCCTGACCAACATTGAAAACCACCCTGCCCTGCAAATGTACCTGAGGAGCCGGGGATTCCGCGATATACACGCACTCGCGTAGCGGAGGGGCCTTCTTGAGGGGGGGGGGGGGGTAGTGTAAGGATTTTTTTCGGCATTCCTTACGGAGCCCGACTACATCGCGTACGGCAACAACCGTTGTTCGCCCGTTACCGCTAACGGGACTTCGCCAACTTCGCGCGCACTGTTTTGCCACACCTCGCACTGCTGGCCCGGCCGTGTCGGCCTACGCTTCGAGACTAGCCCGAGCCTCGCTGCCAGCATAGCACTAGCTAGCTCGCACGCACCGCGTTACCGTTTGCATGTTTCGCATATAAATGTTCGCTCATGCCTTCGCTCACATCTTTGTACTCGTTTGACACCTTAGTGCAATTCTCGCTACCTAGATTCATTGCACCCGTAACACCAACACTGGACCCCAATTTCCCTACTGACATCCAACCACAAAACATCATCATCAAGTATATTCGTTCAAATGCAGAGCAGGGCTGACGTTTCATATTAGGCCTCCCTGATTCCGGGGAAAATTTTTCCCCTCTATTATGAGTGCACATTTTTCAGAATAATGCTACTCTGATTGCTCAGGGTTGAAAAGTATATAACTCTGATTGTTCAGTGTCGAAAATCGAGGATCAGAGTAGTAACGCGCCCTTTGTTACAGGGGAAAAAGTCTCCCTCTGCGTAAAGTTTGCGCTCTGTGTTTCGCGCACACTTTGAGCGCGCTAATTTCCACCCTTTTAGTGTTACGAAATGGTATTTATGCACACGTTTTAGTGGGGGGAAGAGATGAGCGATTTCGCTCAACCAAACATTTCGATTCGATACCTGAATGTGGCCAACATCGCTGTGCGAAACGCAAAATAGGTTCTGGAAACTTTACGCACACGCACTTACGACAGTGGAGCAACTTATTCACATGTCGTGAAAATAACAAACATCGAGTGTACTCGCCTGTCAGACATGCTGCTGTCCATCGCTCACGCGCTGGCTGTACTGCGATCAAACCGAAGGGGGATATCGGAAAGAAATTTCCAAGAACCTTCTTCTCGATAAGGTCAAAATCAGGGACCACAGATTCGAACCCTATTAAGTCAGGGTCCAGTAACAGGCTAGTCTGTTACACTATACTCAAAATCAGGGATAGGAAAACTACGACTCTGATTTGAACAGGGTTGAGAACTCAGTAATTCTGAAATCTCAGTCTCCGCAAAGTGGAAAGTCTGAAATCACCCTGAAATCAGGGTAATTACCTTGATAAAATCAGCCCTGATGCAGAGGCAGGGCTCAGGGGACAAGCAGGATCACCGCGCGAATTCTCCAAGCACGTGGCTTTCGCTTCATTTGCCATCCCGTTTCACCCACACCAGATTCCCAGACTTCCGCAAATTCCTTCCCCATTACCAGTTCCAGCTTTTGAGATTCCTTGTCGAGATTCTTCCTCACTTGCAAGACCGCTTGCCTCGCTTTCTTTCCGTCTCCAGTTTCGTGCCGCCGTGTCGGGCTGGCACTCTTTGCTTCGGACGACAGTTGAAAGCTGCCTAGGATCGCTTCTTGGCTTCCTTCAGCCCACAGAAAGCCCAAACGCCTTCGCGTGACACGTCTATCACATCCGTCTTGAACCACAAAACCGAAGCATTTTTCTTCTCTTCGTTACTCGCTAGAATCCTTTCTCACAGAAGCTAACCACCATCTGTCACCATGGCTGCGATCGCTCCGCATTTCCTGTCGCTCAAGTCTAGCGCAGGATCGTTTCGTCGGTCTGCGAAATCCCTCCAGCCAGCTCAAAGACCGCGCAGGCTTCGCAACAACCGTCGCGACGTCGCCTGGCACTCGCACGCGTCGCAGCGCCGGAACCCGAACCACCCAGATCCCAAACCGTCGCGCAAAGCTCCACTCCGTCGACCAGCACCGCCGCAGCGCCTTTATCTCCGTCTCCGTCTCCGGCGCTTCGGGAGCCTCCCGTTGAGAAGCGGCTATTCGAGCACGTGCTCGAGGCGCAGCAGTTCAACCGCGACTTGCTGTCGGAGATCTTCGAGGTGGCGGACGAGATGCAGCAGATCCTCGAGGCGCGTGGCGGCGCGGGGTGCTCGAACATGCTGCGCGGGTACCTCATGGCGACGCTCTTCTACGAGCCGTCCACGCGCACGCGGCTGTCGTTCGAATCCGCCATGAAGCGGCTCGGCGGCGAGGTGCTCACCACGGAGAACGCGCGCGAATTCTCGTCCGCTGCAAAGGGGGAGAGCCTTGCGGGTGAGTTCGGGAGGAAGTGAGGGGAAAACGTGGGAAAAGGAGGAGGGGAAGGGGGGAAAGGTAGAAGAAATTCAGTCGAAAGGGAAATGGAGCATGTGGAGAGTGGATTCGGAGTACTAAGTTACGGAATGAAAAAGAATTTACAGAGTAAAATTCATAAATGAATTCAGCAGTTTAGTCTAGAGCATGAATCCTTTGTCTCCTTGCTTACTTCCTTTCACCTCCTCCCCCTGTGTTCACTACCAACTCCGTCTCCTATCCCCCTCCCTCCCCCCTTCCCATCCCCCCCACCTCCCCCTCGTCCTCCCCTTCCCCCTCCCTCTCCCTCACTCACTGCAGACTCCATTCGCACGGTGGAGGCGTACGCGGACGTGATCGTGCTGCGGCACTACGAGGAGGGCGCGGCGAAGCTGGCGTCGCAAGTGGCGTCCGTGCCCATCGTCAACGCGGGGGACGGGCCCGGCCAGCACCCCACGCAGGTGAGCGGTTTCGGGCTTGCAACTGTTGGGTTTCGGGCTTACCGGTGAGGGGTTTATGGCTTCGCCCCTTGAGGTCAGGGGTTTAGGGCAGCACTGTACGCGGGTAAGGGGACTAGGGCAGCATGGCTTAATGCAGGTGAGGGAGGTAGGAGGTTGTGGTAGCATAGCGTGGGGTGAAGTACCAGATGAACAGCCCAGCAGGTGAAGCACAACGTCAGCTCTCCTTGGCAGTCACAGGAGGCATAACAGGACTCATCTCACGCCCCTTTCACTATTTCACTCAACACCCTATCCCCTTCCCCCCCTTCACCCCTCCCCTTCCCCGGCAGGCCCTGCTGGACATGTTCGCGATTCAGTGGTAAATGGGGCAGCATGAACCATTTTTTCAGTCACAGGATGCATGGTATACTCACTTCACCCTTCTTTCCCTATCGCACTCCCCTCCCTGCGCTGTCCCCACACCTACCCCTCCCCCATCAGTCGCTGCTGGACATGTACACAATTCAGCGCGAGGTGGGGCGGCTGGACAACATCCGGGTGGGGCTGGTGGGCGACCTGGCCAACGGCAGGACGGCACGCTCCCTCGCCTACCTGCTCGCCAAGTTCCGCAACAACAAGATCATCTTCGTCGCTCCGCCCGTCGTCCGCATGAAGGTGCCGTGGCCCATCTCTGCCTCCTTGCTTGCTGCATACAGAGACTCTTTCCTCACACCCTGTCTCACTCACATACCACTGTTCCCTGGTCCATTTTCTGTTCCCTGGTCCATTTTCTGTTCCCTGGTCCATTTTCTGTTCCCTGGTCCATTTTCTGTTCCCTGGTCCATTTTCTGTTCCCTGGTCCATTTTCTGTTCCCTGGTCCATTTTCTGTTCCCTGGTCCATTTTCTGTGTCACTTGATCATGGCATTTACCCTTCATGTACCCATCACGCACCCTCCAAGCCTGCACTCCTGCTTGTAGTGATACCCTGTTGTCGCCCCACCCCGCTGCCGCACCAATCAGGATGACATCAAGGAGTATCTGACGGCGCGGGGTGTGGAGTGGGAGGAGTCGGCAGACCTGATGGACGTGGCGGCGCAGTGCGACGTGGTGTACCAGACGCGCATTCAGAAGGAGCGGTTCGGAGGGCGCATGGACGAGTACGAGGCGGCGCGCGGCAAGTACATTGTGGACCGCCGCGTGATGAATGCGCTGGGGAAGGATGCCATTGTCATGCATCCGCTGCCCCGACTCGATGAGGTGAGCGGGTGGAGGAATTGGTTGTTTGTTTGTGTGTGTGTGTGTGCGTGTGTGTGTGTGCAGTGAAGGGGAAGCAGTGAAGGTAAAAGCAGTGAAGGGGAAGCAGTGAAGGGGAAGCAGTGAAGGGGAAGCAGTGAAGGGGAAGCAGTGAAGGGGAAGCAGTGAAGGGAAAGCAGTGAAGGGAAAGCAGTGAAGGAGCTGTGAAGGAGAAGCAATGAAGGAGAAGCAGTGAAGGGGAAGCAGTGAAGGAGAAGCAGTGAAGGAGAAGCAGTGAAGGAGAACTGACGGGAATCGATAAGGAGTAACAGCAGAGGGGGAGAGGGTGGGTGGATGGTGAACCAGTGAAGCAGTGAAGCAATACAGGCCAGAATTGTATCTGGAGAAGCAGAGAAGTAGCGGAGTAGAGAAGATGCGGCGAGCTGATTCTTACCCAACCCAGTACTCCGATGTTGCGTATTTTGCTTGTTAGTGGTCAGGTAGTACCTCTATTGAATGTTCTTTCAATCTCATAGAAGGATCAATATCAAATTGCAGCTTTCTCGCACCACTCCTGATTGCTGTAAGCTCCCTGGTCATCAGAATCAAGTCGCTTCAAGTGTGGTGTTGCCAAGTTTCTAAGGTGGGAGTTAGTTAAGGTATGGGTGCAACAGTGTCACAACACAAGTACAAATGCAGTTAGGTTGTTGCTCTGTGGATAGGATGTGGTGAATGGGGAGGACACCTCTGTTGATGGAGAATACAGCTAAGGCACCCTCATAGGGCACTCTGCTCATACAGCTAACAAAGAGGCACAACAATCACAGATAAGGTTGTATCACATCCGTGGCACTGGCACCCTCATAGGGCAATCTGCTTGTTCCTACTGCACGTCATCCAAGGTAACACGTGCAGTGCATCTTCCATAACTGCAGGGAGTGGACTTGGAATTCATTCACACAGGACGCCACTCCCATGTGCTGCGTCCAACTGCTCTGACGCCCACTTTGTGGCTCAAACAAGCACGGCGATTCGCTTCTCATATATTGTACGCCTTGAGATGAAACACACGGTGTAAGACAGACGTTCTCTCCTAAGGTGCTTCGAGGTGGCCCGTGCTGCTCGCGGGTGCCCACTGCAGCAGTCTCAGGCACGTCACACCTCGGATGCTGCACCCCCTCGCACCCACTTGGCCAGCTGCTCCTTGCCCTGCTCGTCCCACCCACCACACCCTCCCACGCACACACGCACACCCATACCCACACCACACCCTCACTCATCCACACCGCACCCACACACACACGCACGCTCACACACACTCGCATGCATGAGCAGAGGCACAACAACACAGACAGAGGCAGGTGAGTGGCCGCACTTGCAATGAGCCGAAGAGGGAGTGAGCAAAAAGCCCAGCAGTGGTGACAAGCACAACCCAGCAGGCGTACCTGTCTGGGCGGCACACTGACGGTGGGCAGATCCTCTGCCGTGAAGCCCAGCGGCTGCAGCACCTCCGCATAGCTGCACGGGCCACACGTGGGGGGGGGGGGGAGCAAGGTAGTGGCGGCATGAGGGATGGTGGCAGTGGAGAGTGCGGCAGACGAGCGAGCAAGCGAGGAGGGAGGCGAGGAGGGAGGCGAGGAGGGAGGCACAGAGGGAGGCGCGGAGGGAGGCGCAGAGGGAGGCGCGGAGGGAGGCGCGGAGGGAGGCGCGGAGGGAGGCGCGGAGGGAGGCGCGGAGGGAGGCGCGGAGGGAGGCACAGAGGGAGGTGGGGAACAGGAATGCGGAAGCCCAGGATGGGCGGAGCAGTGGGAGCAGGGGGGCAGGGGGGAGCAGGGGGTACAGGGAGGAGCAGGGGGGACAGGGGGGTAAGGGGGAGAGAGCAGGGAAAAGGAGGACAGGGAAGACAGGGGGGACAAGGGGGCCAGGGGCCAGGGGGAGACGAGAGACAGGAGGGGCACACCTGTCCTTGGAGACGGCATACGGCGGGCCACCCTCGTGGGCACCGATCTGCAGGCGGGGAGCACACAGCGAGGCACGCGGGTAGACAGACAGCCGTGGGCCGTGAGCAGAGAGCAGCGGGGAGAGCAGTGATTAGGGTTTGCCCATAGGGAGCACGCGAGGGTGCATTCATACATGCGGAAAACACGAGGACACAGATGAACATACAATGATAGGCGTGCATAGATATGCAAGCGGAACATGATAGGCGTGCAAAGATATGCACGCACGGGGAACATGAGAGGGTGCATGGATACGCATGGTGAGAGGGTGCACAGCAGTGATTAGGTTTCGCCCATAAAAGCACACAAGGGTGCATTGATGCGTGGAGGTAACACGAGGGCACACATGAACATTGAATAATAGGCGTGCATGGATACGCATGGTGAGAGGGTGCAGGGGCACGCACGGGGAACATGAGAGGGTGCAATGGATACGCACGGGGAACATGAGCGTGAAGAGCACCCCGTGTGGTGCAAGCAGCTCCGCTGTCTTGGCCGCCCACTTGCCCCTCAGCGATGGCGGCAGCGCACAGAAGAAGCTGCACGCAGGGAGGGCCGTGGGAAGGGGCATGCAGGCACGCGGGCAAGGAAGGATGGTGCGTGGGTGCGTGAGGGTGTGAGGGGCAGGGCAGGGGCGATGGGGCATGTGAGCACTGAGAGGGACTGGTTGAGGGGGGGGGGGAATGATGGGTACGTGCTCTTAACGAAGCCAGAGACAGCGAATGGGACACAACAGACGCGGGAGCGATTGAGATGGTAGGCACGCGCTAGGAGAGAATGCGACACGACAGATGCGGGAGCGATTGAGATGGTGGGAACACGACCAGGGAAAGGACAGCAGCAGCGGGATTGCTGGTGTGGCCGCAGGTTCTTGGCCAGTGAGGGGTGAGAGGGAGAGGGGTTAGGGGTGAGAGGCAGAGGGGCGTGCGGTGAGAGGCAGAGGGGCGTGCGGTGAGAGGCTGAGGGGCGGGGCTCACGGGCAGTCAACGATGGCATGGAAGAGCTGTGGTGGGCGATACTCAAAGAAGTCGGCGCACTCAAACGCCATGGCCGCCCTGTTGGCCGCCCCCTCCACTCGCTGGGGTGAGCAGCGGCGGAAGGAGGTTGGGCGGGAGGGGGAGAGGGTTGAGAGGTTGAGAGGGTGGAGCGGGTTAAGAGGGTAGATATTGGGCAGCAGGGGAGGAGAGGAAAGGAGTGGGAGGGCAGGGGTGTGAGCAGAGGGACGGGCGAAGAGCGGAAGGGCGAATGGCTGCACAGCTGGCGGCACAGGCGCTGCCCACCCGCCTGTGCATGCGCCCACCTTCTCTGCACGCGCCCACCTTCTCTGCACGCGCCCACCTTCTCTGCACGCGCCCACCTTCTCTGCACGCGCCCACCTTCTCTGCACGCGCCCACCTTCTCTGCACGCGCCCACCTTCTCTGCACGCGCCACAGCAGCCGGTGAGATGTCAAGGCCGGTCGCCTCCCTTCCATTCGATGCCAACGCCTCCACATCGTAGCCCTGCCATGCCATGCCATTGCCATAGTCATTCCATCCACCCCATGCAATGGCCTCGAACATCATCCCATGCCATGCCATGCCATGTCATCAAGTAGAGGAGAAAGTTAATGCACTCTGAACCTACCAATGGCGTGGAGGGGAGGTGAGTGCAGTGCACTAGAGAGGGGAAGGGCGGAAACAAAAGGAGCGCAGTGGAGAGGAAAATAGAGGAGAGGAGAGGAGAGGTGAGGAGAGGAGAGGAGAGGAGAGGTGAGGAGAGGAGAGGAGATGAGAGGGGAGGAGTGGAGTGGAGAGGAGAGGAGAGGAGAGGAGAGTAGAGGAGAGGAGAGTAGAGGAGAGGAGAGCAGAGGAGCGGAGAGGAGAGGAGAGGAGAGGAGAGTAGAGGAGAGGAGAGTAGAGGAGCGGAGAGGAGAGGAGAGGAGAGGAGAGGAGAGGAGAGGAGAGGAGCGGAGAGGAGAGGAGAGGAGCGGAGAGGAGAGGAGAGGAGCGGAGAGGAGAGGAGAGGTTTGGTGAGTTGGTAGAGGTCGGCCATGGCCCCTGACTCTCCTTGGACACACCCATCCTGTCATGACTCTCCTTGGACACACCCATCCTGTCATTACGACGGGTGATGGGAGGGGAAGGGAGGTCGATGGGAAAGAGTAGTGATGTGCCAAGGGCATGGGGGGTTCTAGACAAGCAAGGGCATGGGGGGTTCTAGACAAGCAAGGAGCAATCATCACGCATGCCTTGGACTACGCCCCCTCCTGCTACAGCCCCGTTCACACTTCCGTGAAACACCAACTATGTTGTGCTGTGCATTCCCGTGCTGCAGCCAGGCGCCAGGCACTCACGGAGCCACAGCCGGGGACGAGCACGCGGCGGATGGAGGGCGGCAGGTGCAGCGGCGACCCCTCTTGCGCAGCCACGAGCGCCGCTACAGCCGGCATCACGCCTCCCAGATCCCACGGCGTCTTGCTCGCCTGCCATGCCTTGTCCCACCCGCCTGGCGCCCGGGCGCGGGGGAGGAATGAAAATTAGGGTTGGGTTTTCCCAGAGGAATGCGGCGGGGTGCACAGCGGCGGGTCGAGGCAATTGGGGGTGGTGGGCGGAGAGGAACGAGAGGCGAGGACGTGTAATCAGGCACGTTAGCGCAAATGTACCGTAAGATATCCACGCGCCTTGACGTGAGGATGATGGAGGGCAAGCAGCGCAGATGCGCAGGCACGGACGGACGAATTTGAGCCTTTCGCGACGGCGTGCATCGCGGCAGACATCGCCGGCATTGCGCGACTCCAGTCGCCGTGCGCGCGTTTCAAGGATTGGAGAGAGGCTCACCTACGGGGTCGTCGGTCAGCAGCTGCCGAAACTCGTTCATCCCCGGAATGCTCTTCGGCGCGTCGAACGCCAGCACCTCCGACTGCACGCCAGGCGCGGCGTCCGCTGCCCCCTCCGCCAGAGTGGACGCGTGCTGAGTCATGCCGCGTGCGAGGGTTTAGGGTTAACGAATGGATTTCCGGCGATTGCGCTGAGGGATATGCGGAAGACGCGAAGCGATCAATCACCGAGCCCTTGCGGAAAAGGGCTTGTTAGACGGATGCCCGCGACGGTATCATCCTCCGATTATGCAAGCAGAGGGAAAATAGCTGGACAGCTTTAGGGATCTTGCAAAAAAAAAAAAACTCCTGGCCCCCAAAACATGCCCGCACGTGGAATCCACGTCGTGGAGTGTCGAGCAATGCCCGTCATTCAGGGCACAAACGAGCTCCTCGCGTGTCAACCGGCATCCCCTCCGAATATGTCGCCAGCGACCTAGGTCGCAACCTATCACGGAACCTCGCAGCCCCTACTTACCGGCCTACGTCACCGAACGACCGTCAAACCTTCGCCACCTCGACAGGTTCCCCTCCCTTGACATCGTTTCGGCGCCAGGTAAGTTGCTGCCCGCCCTGGCCCAGCCCACTCGCGACGTCTAACTTCGTGCACTGTTCCAGTATCCTATTCAAGTATCCTGTTCCAGTATCGCCACGACACGCCGCTCCCCCGACGGCTGCAACCACTAGTCCACCATCCCTAGACTAGTCCAGACTACATTTTCTAGGGGATCATACTGTTTTCACTATGAATCCGCGAAATCGGCGAATTTCATTACCAATTTGCACCTCACAGTCGGGAGCTTGTCGTGGCCATGCCAGGGAGCTACACTGAGTCGAACAATGAACTTGCTGTATAACAAATCTATATCTGGAAGTCCAGGATTCTGAAATTTGAGCTATTGATTGTGGCTTTTTGACATGGACTCTTGGGCTACTTCTGTTTGTTATTGTTTTTATCCGCACTATAATTTCTTCTAAAAGGTGCCTCAATGATGACATGAGAAAAAACAAGATTCGACGTTTACGTCGGATGGGTTGCGTAGAGTTGTATCCTCGTACAAGACACATTATGATTGAGAATATTAAAATTTACTGATGTAAATCAGATTATAATGTTCATTATATTTTGTTAAAATGGAATAAGCTTCAAAATCCTCTTAAAAAAATATGGAAGGTATGTAGATTTTTTTTTTACACAGTGATTCTTATGTGTATTAGCAGAGAACTATTTCGACATTAATTGTTTTGTTGTGTTTATAATAGACAAAAATTCTTACATCCATCTTACTGTATTGCGCTTACAATTTACTATAGTGGGAATTTGCTTTGTGCTTTGTTTTTGTCTCTTCCTGTTTCTGCCTGCTTGTTTCTGCTTCGTCAGTAATCGAGTGCAAAATTGCGTGGAGGCTTTTCGTGTGAAAGAATGAGGAATGAAGAAGAGAGGGGTTCACTAGCAAGCAGTTGAGTACATATAGTAAACCCTAAGTTGGGCTGTACTCACTATTGAGTACCCCACTGCAGGCTAGACAAACATAACATTCTGACACACCCCCATAGCCAAAGTGGGGTGTAATCTGTCAGAATGTTATTATCTAGCCTGTAATGGGGTGCTCTATAGCGAGTACAACCCTGTTAGGGTTTGCTATATGTATCCCAACTGCTGCTAGTGAAACCCTCCTCTCTTCTTCATTCCTCATTTCTTCACATAATCAGCAAGCAGGCATAGAGCAGGAGTTTACAATAGCGAGCAAAGCTAGAGTTAATCACAGCGGGCAAGTGAGGAGGAGGAGGAACTGTGGAGGGAGAGAAGATGGGAGGCAACGACTGAAGCTGCAGAGGCACGGCACAGGAGCGGCTGACTCAGTGGCTACCGAAGCAAGGGCGACGGACTGCTGGAGTAACTGGCTCCGCGGCTATAGACGAGCGGCAGGAGCAACGGACCCACTGGCGACTGGTGCAACAGGCTCACTGGCTACCGAAGCAAGGGCGACGGACTACAGGCGCTGCAGGCGACACGACAGCTACCTTCACACAACCTCCTCCAACTGCCCCACACTCTCGACACACACCCCCTGCTCAAACCCTAGCTCCACTCCCACAGCACCCCCCTTAAACCCTAAACCCCAGGCTCACACACATCCACCCCCCTCAAAACCCTAGCTCCACTCCCACAGCACCTCCCTTAAACCCTAAACCCCAGGCTCCCACACATCCACCCCCCTCAGCGACAGCTGCAGCAGTGGGAGACGAAGGAGGAGGAGGAGCAGGGGAGACCACACACCCGCCACCCCCTACTCGCCACCCCCAGACCCTAACACAGGGCAGGGCGGGACGGCGGGTAGGGAGGTTGGGGGGGGGGGGGGGGGGGGGGGGGGCCTACGCGCGGCCTCCCAGGGCGCCAAAACAGGCGGCAGAAGGGGCGACGCTCGTCCCCCCCCCCCCAGGTCGCGGCCCCCCAGGGAGCCGCGACGGGCGACGGGAAAAGAGGGGGGGGGGGCGGTGCACGGGCCCCCGGTGCGCCGCGACAGGCGACGGAGCATGGCCGGGGCGGGGCCGGGGCAGGGGCGAGGCAGGGCCGAAAGGGGCGGCGACGGGGCCGCAAGTGGCGGCGACGGGGCCGCTGGAGGCGGCGACGGGGCCGATAGGGGCGGCGACGGGGCCGCTAGGGGCGGCGACGGGGCCGCTGGAGGCGGTGACGGGGCCGATAGGGGCGGCGACGGGGCCGCTAGGGGCGGCGACGGGGCCGCTGGAGGCGGCGACGGGGCCGATAGGGGCGGCGACGGGGCCGCTAGGGGCGGCGACGGGGCCGCTGGAGGCGGCGACGGGGCCGTAAGTGGCGGCGACGGGGCCGCTGGAGGCGGCGACGGGGCCGATAGGGGCGGCGACGGGGCCGCTAGGGGCGGCGACGGGGCCGCTGGTGGCGGCGACGGGGCCGATAGGGGCGGCGGCGGGGCCGCTAGGGGCGGCGACGGGGCCGCTGGAGGCGGCGACGGGGCCGATAGGGGCGGCGACGGGGCCGCTAGGGGCGGCGACGGGGCCGCTGGAGGCGGCGACGGGGCCGATAGGGGCGGCGACGGGGCCGATAGGGGCGGCGACGGGGCCGCGAAGGGCGGCGACGGGGCCGCGAAGGGCGGCGACGGGGCCGCTAGGGGCGACGACGGGGCCGCGAAGAGACCGCGAGGGGCCTCGAAGGGCGGCAACGGGGCCGAGAAGGGGCCGCGAGGGGCCTGGAAGGGCGGCAACGGGGCCGCTAGGGGCGGCGACGGGGCCGCGAAGGGGCCGCGAGGGGCCTGGAAGGGCGGCAACGGGGCCGCGAAGGGGCCTCGAGGGGCCGAGAAGGGCGGCGACGGGGCCGCTAGGGGTGGCGACGGGGCCGCTAAGGGTCGCACGAGGGGCACGCCACGGGGCGTGCAGCACACAGAGTAGCAGCAGAAGAAGTTAGGTGGGCCCACAGGCCAGGAGCGTAGATGCTCTGATAGCATGTGAAAATAATGAGGAATAAAGAAGAGAGGGGTTCACTAGCAAGCAGTTGAGTACATATAGCAAACCCTAAGTTGGGCTGTACTCACTATTGAGTACCCCACTGCAGGCTAGACAAACATAACATTCTGACATTTCGGAGCGCACTGAACCACGTGGCAGTGTCTTGATTTGTAGTATCTCATATTTAGTACATTTTAAAAAATACGATTTTATGTCCAGTCTCGTTTTTTTCGCGCCCTACCAGGTTACAAACGAAATCATTGCAACTGATCTCGGAGTTTTGAGTGGTTCTACGGCTGTAGTCTTGTTTCAAGAACATCATATAGCCAGAGTGACAGCTTAACGATACAGTCACCTTAGCAAAGTGATAAGCGAATCGGCTCAAAACATTTAGCACTCTTGTAATGAGAAGCATTGTACTTTTTTCCTTTCACACCTGTCTGCTCAAATTCGACTCTGTGAAATAACGAGGAATGATTGACTAGGAAATGAGTTGGGTACAAATATGTAACCCTAGGAAACTGTACCCCATACTGTCTACGCCACTACAGCCTAGAAAGACTATAGCATGAATGTTTGACACACCCCCATAGGCAAAGTGGGGGAGAACAAGAGGTCACAAGACCAGTCAAGCAAAGCACAGCAAGCTCAGGGTGGATCACAACGTCACCACACATTCCGAGCACAATTTCAAGGCCACAAGGCCAGTTCACATGCAAGATTATATATAAGGGTAAACAAGCAAGTGCAGGTATAGATAGATCACAGTACAAGCAAGGTCAAGAAGTGAGCAAGTGAGGCCAAGTAGGCACAAGACCTAGCATCGTACAAAAGCGCTAAGGATCACAAGACTGAAGTTCCTTGGTAAAGATATCAGCAGTGTTGGCCTGAGAGGCCACGTAGGCAAGGCGCAGCTGACCACGCTGCTGCAACTCATGAGCAAGGAAGTACCGAAGAGCAATGTGCTTCGTTCTGTGCTCCACTCTGTGCTCCCGACACAAGGCCAGCATGGCCTTGTTGTCTACGTACAGAACTGGAGGAGAACGAGGCGGCTCTCCTAGGTCAGTCAGCAGGTAGGTGAGCCAGCGTAGCTCCTGTGCAGCCATGGCCCCCGCGTAGATCTCAGCCTCATAGCTGGAGCCGAGAACAGAAGACGAGCGGGTAGACCGCCACGAGACAGAGCCGGAGCCAAGGCTGAAGGTGTAACCCTGTGACGACCGCTGCGTAGCCTGGTCGTCAGCCCAAGAAGCGTCTGCGTGACCTGTGAGGACCACTCGACGTCGCCCTCCAAGCACTGGCCCCATGCCCGACGTACTGCACAAGTAGCGCAACACCCTCTTCGCTGCAGCCATGTGCTCTGGTCGGTGTCTCCCAGGAGCAACATAGCGTGCCAAGATGCTAAGAGGGTATGCAAGGTCAGGTCGTGTGCAGGTCATCAGGTACATGAGGCAGCCAACAAGCTCTGGATACGGGCCACTCGGCTCTACGGACTCATCCGAAGGCAGAGCTGAGAGCGAGTGGTGAGTAGACAGAGGAGTGGCCTGAGGCGAGGAGTACGTGAAGTCGAAGCGCTGAAGGACCTGCTGCACCATGTGTGACTGAGTCAGGGTAATGGTGCGCT